TGTCAGCTTCTCAAATCAAACCGCTGTGGTTACTGACAATAACTTTTACAATGTAAGAAAACGTGTTTCTAGTCTACTGTGACATATTTCAACAGACGTCTTGTTTAAAATATTTAACACTACATTTGGAGATTATTTATATATGATGGCAGCAAGCACTCAAACATACCAGTTCAAATATTAAAGCGTGAGCACTCTGGAATAATATAGGGTTTATCAAAGAGAATCATCTGATTTCAAAAAGCTTTAATTCCACAGTTGTTCACCGGTAACGATCGAAACACGTACTGTGAAAAAGAGGCGATTCGTGAGTTTCACATTGTTGCTGGTATGTAGCATAACAACAGCGGTGGCTGCAGTGACAACAGACATGCTCGCATGAGGCAAGTCCGACCATCATATGGACATGTGCCGTACATCTGGATGAAGATTCATATGTAAAATGTATAATTTAGGCAATGTATATTTAAAATTAAAAAAATAGCCTTTTAAAATAAGATGATTTCTTTTTAATACACCCTCTATTGTAATAACTTAGTACTTTATGTTATGTGTTCTTATGAGCACCTATTCAAATGTGTGTTGAATTCTCCTCAGCAGAGTTCCCCACACCAAAGACGGAGCTGGTTCAGAAGTTTCAGGTGCTCTATCTTGGGATGATGCCTGTGGCCAGACCGATAGGTTGGTGTGACACATACACACAGAGTGATGAAATGTTAATGTTGATTCCGAATGTTTATTTAATTCAAATGTTTTGTTTTATCACCTTCTACATCAGGCATGGATATACTGAATGGAGCTATAGACAGTCTGATTGGTTCTTCCAGCAGAGACGACTGGACTCCAGTGGCCCTCAATGTGGCCGACGCTACGGTCACCATCAGCAAAGACAAGGTCAGACAGGTCTGATGTTGTTGAGCTCTTATGATGCAGTCACACCAAACACCAAGCAAAGTTTTGCCTCGTTTTACTCGCGTGAAGTTAGTTGGAAACTCATGAATATTCCCCCCTAATGTTTGATTTATAGTATCGTGTTTGCGTGCATATTTGATTATGTAGAGCATATGCAAACGGGGTGTGCAACCTACACATACACCATCCTCCACAAACCAACACAGAACAAAATGAGTGACGGTGTGTGTATGTGGACTGCTGATTGGTTGCTGGTCGGAACAGGAAAAGGCGTCTTTTGCATTCATGACTTACGTGAGAAACAGAAAAAACTCCGTAATGGTGGACACTTTTCACACTTGACTTCACTTTGCTTTTCTCCAGGATTGACTGAAGAACCAACAGCAGCATGAAGCTAAGCTGCCACCAAAGTCGAAATATTTTAACTCATGCAAACCTGAATTTGCCTCTGTCTGTGTTGGCTAAGGCTGATATACCACGCCTCGTTGCATAAGCAGCAGTTTGTAGTCACACTGTGTGAAACTTTGCTTTACAATTGGTTTCATTATTATTATTATTTGAAATGCATTTCTCTGTAGTAATTGTTTCTAAAACACATTAACCGAGCAAAACTGCTTTCTCTTTCACCTTTAGTCTAAAAAGAATTAGAAAGGTCTTTTAATATCTTCCTAAATCCTATAAAAGAGCCCCGACTGGTCTCCTGACCTCACGGTGTTCAGCTTGAACAGCCCAGCTGCTGTTTGTAGCTGTTTGAATAAAATACTGATGAGAGTAATCTCTTTAATACCTAATGCCTAAAGATTTCTGACTTTCTGTCCGCAGGATGAAGAGGATGTGCTGGTAGAGTGTCGTGTTCGCTTCCTGTCTTTCATGGGCGTTGGGCATGACGTGCACACGTTTGCCTTCATCATGGACGCTGGCGGCCATCGTTTCGACTGTCATGTCTTCTGGTGTGAGCCCAATGCTGGGAGCGTGTCTGAGGCCGTACAGGCAGCTTGTATGGTGAGTCACACGAGCTGAAATTCAGCTCTGTGGTCCGTACATGGATTAAGAGGTAGATGTAAAAGAACTTTTAAATGGGTAAAAGAAGAGAAACTTTGAGCCGTTTGCATTTTTTTCTGTAGCTTAATTAAATCTCTGAACTCTTGATTGCACTTAAATAACTTAACAAGCTCTTTGTTACCAGCTGATGTTAATGCTGCTGATGCAGAGGCTTTACAGACGGGAAGATCTTTAGAGCCTCCCTCTCTGAAGGTGGATGTCCTTGGCGGTAGTGTAGTTGGGGTTTGATTGTTTAGTCTTGACAGATGCTCTAACCAGTACGATTTGCTCAAGTTGCAGTGGGACCCCATGTCAAAGCGTTGCTGGTTTGAAACATGCATTTAGATCAGGATAAAGCAGTTAAATTGCAGTGGATGCCCTTGCAGGTTATCCACTATAGATTTTCTGCTTAAATGGTAAATGCTTTAGATTGCACACAGCGGTGTTTCCTGCTCTGCTGAAAACTTCTCAAACAAGATGTACTGTATATGGATTTGAAGTAATAACAATTGTGTTAAAGCCGTAATACCTTTACAGTGTTTCCATTTCATCATTATAATGTGATCACAAACCCAGAGTCCCATCTGCGCTGTTTATGCTGCGATGCATCCCATTAGTGGAGGTTACTCGCCGTCCTCTGTGGTCGACTGCTGACTGCGCTATTGATCACACATCAGAACTTTGGATATATGGAGAAACAACACACACACACATGCGTACACACACACACACACACACACACACACACACACACAGATTGATGGTGACAAGAATCATTAGTCATTACTATTGATCACAGCTAGCAGAGGTGCAGTCTGACTGGTGCAGTCAACCCTCCAAATGCACACACACACACACACATCGGGTATTCATATCTTGTGGAGACATCTAATTGACATAATGCTTTTTTTTTTTTCTTAATGATTACCCAACCCTTACCCTATACCTAACCATAAACCAATTATAAGTCTGACACTAAAACCACATTTTAAGTCTCAAAAATGCCTTCAAACTTGTGGGGACTGGGATCTTGTTCCCCTAAAGGGCTGTTGGTCCCCACAAGGATATAAACACACACACACACACACACACACACACACACACACACACACACACACACACACACACACACACACACACACACACACTTGCCCCTTCCACAGTCGTATCCTCAGCAGTTGTAACTCTCCATAATTTACGCTCTCTCTCGCTCTCTCTCTCGCTCTCTCTCTCTTACAGCTGCGGTATCAGAAGTGTTTGGTGGCTCGACCGCCCTCCCAGAAGGCCTGCGGTTCGTTGCCTCCCGGCGACTCGGTGTCCCGCCGGGTGTCGACCAGTGTGAAGCGAGGCGTCCTGTCTCTCATCGACACCCTCAAACAGAAGAGACCTGTCACAGAGTTGCCACAGTAACCGTGGCGAAACACTACCGGCTTTTGACCACAGCCCCAAGTCACCATAGTAACTCGACGCATCGCTGCCAAAACCCGTCACCACCACAGACCCCAGTAGCCATGGAAACGCAGTAAAACCCTTGGGTTTTTTGGGGGTGGGGGGTTTAACCCGTCACAACTCCTTCACTGGTTTGGAAGCAAATTGGAATTTCACCTCAAGAGTTAATTGGCTCTTGAGCCGCAATTCAAGTCTGTTTCTTCCAAATAAGTGAGAATTAAAAAGGCACCAACCCCACATCTGAAGAGGACCACCTGAGTGCCGGCCATGCAGGCGATGGTGTACATAGAAGTAGGTCTCATTCCCCTCAGCTCACAGCAGCAGAGGAGAAGAGGGCAGGAACTGAAGAAGTAGGAAGTGATCCTGTGTGCTGCTGCTGCCGCCAAACCGCTGATCTCTCCATGCTCTTTGTGCATTTGTGTCTGTGCCTGTGCTGACAGCATGACCTTTCACACCTGGCCACACTCCCCCTCCAACCTCATCCACCTGGTTGTCCTCCCCCCCGAGCTCTCTTGCTCATCATCTTCAGTAGACTGTAACCGTAAGGAGATGAAAAGTTTCATATCAGTGGATGATCATTGGAAGATAAAGAGATTTGTTTCAGTCTACACCCTCCAACCACTTGACCCTGCATGAACTTTTTATCTAAATGTGAATCATTCTATACAATATCAATACACTGCTGCTGCTTTCAGAGACTCGAGGGTGAGAAATCAGAAGTCGCACGGTTCGTTTATCCTGTTCTTTCTCATCAGCTGTGCGAAAGTCAGCCCCGCGTCTGAACGAGTGGTGACCTTTCACCCGAAACGTACTTCGCGCATTTCCTCGTTTACGTTGTTATTCTTTTCTCATCCCTTTAGGAAATGACAGAAGATAGCCATAACGGAGGACGAGATGGGGGCGGGTGGCGCTGACCCTCTCTCTCTCTAGTACAGTGCTGCTCCAAACACAGGAGACCTTCAGCATGCTGCTGCTCTTTAATACACATGTTGGAGAAAGTTTGACAGATTATTCCTTTAAATCCCACCTCAGTATCGGTCATCAGACTTCATTTAAACTAATAAAGATCATGGGTGGCATTAAAAAAACAAAAACAAGCCTGGAGGAACACTTGAGGAATGCGTTTTTATACCTGGGTGTGGTTGTGATGATTTTTAGTCCACAGCTGATGTGAACTGTGATTTGAGAAAGCGAGAGGACAATTTTCTCTTGAGCTGTGGATGTTTTCTAGAGGAAAGCCAGCAGAGAGACGTGTTGACCCAGACTGACGGACTTTAATGGACTCTATATCGGTCTGTCTCCAGGATTGTGTTCAGCTGAATGCGCCTTGTGTTTTCTTACTCACTCGCCGTCTGATTTCATCAGTGTAATGAAACCACTCGCTCTGTGTCTGTGTTGTGCAGAGTTCCAGTTTCACCTGCTAGCTCCTTATTATCACATATCTGACAAGCTTGGATGTATGGTAATAACTAATGAAGTCCTTTATGTCACCTAAAAATCACATAAGATCCTCACAACAACGCATCTCCCTCCTGGGTGTGGGGCAGCAGATTAATACTCTGTTAAGTGACCCTTTGCTAAACCCCCTGATTACAGCCTGTCAAGCTTCGGGTTTACTCTCGGCTTGGGTTTCCTTTCCAGACGATGCTGCTATATCAGAGCTCTGTCCTCTCTTTATAGGCTCCTTATAAAGAAATGGAAACACTAAAGCATAAATGTAATCTGTGTTTGTATTTCAACCTGCTGCAGAATGGATCATGGCTCACTTTCTGCTGAGGACGCCAACTTTTATGCCAGAAGGAGTAGCCTGGCCTCTGACATTTAGCATGATATTGCTAGCAGCTGGTTCAAAATGACTGCCTAATGTTACAACAACAGCCGGATTAAAAAATATGGTCCAACTCTTCATAAAACATATAAAGTCTGTTCAAGACGTTCATCATTGTTAGGGTCCAAAATTGAACATTTGCTGGTTAGCAGGAGATGCTAGTCTGCGCGTAATACACTTTCAAGAGTTACTGCAGATATGTGACGTGGCATTTAAAAATCTAAAGTCCAAAATTCATGCTTATTTTTGCTTTAACTAAAATTTCAAAACTTCCAGATTAATACTGCACAATTCCATGATTTCTTTTTTTAAGATGAAGATTTTAAAGATGTCGAGCTGCAGCCGTCCCTTGAATTGTTTGTGGTTCAGTAACTATGCACAAGTTCCCAGGACGAGATGCCTTCATGTCTGGAATGACATCCCATAGTTGGAAAAGATAAAAACAAACAAATCTTCCAAATCAAACACAAACTACCTGCTGTGAATAAGGGAGCAGTAACAATTGTAGTACATTCGTAAAAAAGTTTACCTTATAGAGACCCAATGTAGAAGTCACCAAACTTCTCTGGTTGACCGTCCAGGTCAGTCCTCCGGGTGGGTGCGGCTGTGCCGAGTGGAGGATTTCCCCTTGTAGCTGTGAGGCCTGGACGCCTAAGTTTGTGAGGGCGTTAACTCGAGAATGAGGTGACATAGGATTTGATACCATAGCTGCATCTACTAAAAGTCTTGGACAAGTTTGAATATCAGTCACTTTGACGTCAAGGTCAGAGGTCAAGTTTTCAGAAAATCTTGTAAATGCGTTAACTTGAGAAGGAGGCGGCATAGGAGTTTCTACTAGGAGGCTGAGTTGAAGTCACCGGTATTTTCCTTGACTTGTGAGATTCCCGGTCTTCGTCTTTGCCTGTTTTTGTTTTGTTGTTTTTGTTTGTGCTGCGTCACATTTCTGTGATAAATAAGTGGCCTAAAAAAAACAAAGAAATGCTTGACAGGGGCTGAGGCAGTAACTTGAGGGGGGGGGGCTTAGCTAACGGTCAGCATGTTGTCTTGCACTTCGTCTGTTGGCTCCACAGGGGAACCGAAAGAAACTATTTTAGTAACGGAGATGATTTCTTCTTTTGTCACAAGGATGCTGAAATGTGAACGAGATGACAAAAACTTTGTGTACATAATACCGATTTCATGTAACATTTGGCATTAATCATCGTTATAAGCTATGTTTTTCTTCTTTTTTTTTATGTGTTTTTTTGCCTGTTATTTTCCTCTAATGAAATGCCTTTTTTTTCCTTTTCTATTTTTTGAAAATTCACCAAATGGCCAAAGTGTAAAATACTGATAATACATTGTAGATAAAGAAAAATACGAGAGCAGATAATGAACACGGAGGCGATCGGAAGCGCTCACAGTTGGCAGTTAAGTTGATGCTGAATTTAACTTAGCAATTATCTATGCATTCTTTTGATCTGGAGAAACGGAAAGTCATGAAAAGCCTTGCATGCTCTGGGATGGTTGAGAGAGAGAGAGAGAGAGAGAGACTGTATGTATTGAACAGAAATATTTTTTATTTTATTTATTCTATTTTATAAAAGGTATATACTGATTTTTATTAGTTGGGGCAAGTAAAGTCTCATGACTGTCATCGTCTCAGTCCCCGGTTAAGTCACAACGCTACAACAAGCTCCGCTTTGCAGAACACAGCAGGTTATGGATTATATCTTCACCTTGTACAGTGTACCGAGAGCTGGGAGTCCACTGCTCCGTCTGAACCGCTGACCGGAGGGTGAGGAGGAAGATTGTAGCAGCAGTGGACTCCTTGCATCTCTTGTCAGTCTTGCACATGAACAACGCGCCCACACACACACACACACATATACACTATCCATTTCCCACTGATGGATGTGTCTGCTTCCGTTTGCTGCTCACTGATTTGTACACTTTATCAATGTAACCAATTGTGAGAATAAACAGCATTATAAAACCTGTGCATGCGCGTGTGTGTTTGCAGCTATTTTTGTGATCGATCTCTTGCTTAATCAGAGTCCAGCTGTCTGCAGCTCGTGAGTCCTTAAGAGTTATTTATTCCCATCAATCTTTTTGTTTTTGTATCACTAAAGATTAAAGAGATGTGCATCATTTTACTGGAGGAAAAAGCAAAAATGAAAATGTTGTAGTGATGTAACAGTTCTAAACTGTGAATGTAAAACAACCGTGAGATCCCACAAAGGAAAATATGGGCCTGAAATGAGCATATGTCACCTTTAAGCCAGGCCTCCATGACAGCTATACCAAGCACTTAACATGATTTAGATGGTTTATCATGTAAAAATTAAGTTCTGCATTTTTCAGTTGTGTGGCCACCTTGACTGATAGATGGGTACCAATCAGGTCAGTAGTTACACTTTGTTTCTTAACATTGGTGCCTTTTAGAGCATTTTAATGTATTTACCTGACAAATACTGCAACCTGCTCTTCACTGAACTTCACTGTGGCCCAAGTAGTAATTTTTTTTTGTGTATTAGTCAACATAAATTACTAGAAGATCTAGTTTATGAGTGAGCCACATATATTTAAAAAACAAATCTAAGCAGCAGAAATGGCTACAAAATAATTTAAATAAATATTGTAATATTGTTTTTTTTTATACATCAGGCAGAGAGATTGAGGATGAAGATGTAGACATGTTGCCTTGCTGGGAGTTGAGGGTCCCAGACACAGGCCTGTAGCCAGAACTGCCACTGCGCAGAGAGGTGGAGGAGGTGGAGGCGATTGGTGGCAGCCCCACATTGTCAGCTCTGACCGCCGCTTTTGCTGGTTTAGCAGCGTCGTTCAATGTTTCCTGTGCTCTTTCAGGCTGTGTGTTTCGTCCCGTGGAGGCTGTGCGGGGAGCGGGTATGGCAGGGAGAGCGGTTGAAGGATGCTTTCCAGTGGGGGAAGCCGTGCTGAGTAATGTCTGCTGTGATTTAAACGCTGGATTGATGCTCATCCTCTGTGCCAGAGCTGTGATTGGAGACAAGTGGTTGGAGGGTTTTGCAGAGGACATTAAAGCTAGTGTAAGGCGAGGTATTCGTCTCGGTTTGCTTTTCGTCCGACGCCTCTTGTGATGTGATTGGTTGCCTTTTTTCTTTGTCTGTTTCTTCTTGTGGCCTTTAGGTTCATGCGTGGAGACAGTAGTGTTCTTGCTTTGCTTTGAATGGCCTTTTTGCTTACGCCCTTTATGCCCCCTCCTCTTCTTTTCCCCCTCTTTCTCTGTCTCGCCCACTTTTTCCTCCTCCTCATCTTCACCACCATCTCCCTCGCCTTTCTCCTCTTCATCTCCTGAAGGTGTGAATGGATCTCGTCCATTTGGCAGCTCTCCTCCCGTCTCCCTCTCAAGGCTGGAGGAGGATGAAGGTTTGCTGCTGGCTGATGCTGCTCGATTCTTCTTGCTTTTCCCCTTTTTAGCAGCTTTTGATTGTTCGGGAATCATTCCTCCCAGGAGGCCCTTTGCCGCCGCCCTTGCCAGCACATCTTGGACCGTTTCCACCTTAGTAGGATCTGCCTGAAGAAGAAAGAGCAGTTTGAAGATTTAATGTGAAGCCACAATGCATTAAAATTACTGGTCTCAGGGGAAACGTAGCACAGGGGAGATCTACACAATAAAAACACAATGGTGTGGAAATGAGCTACAGCCATAAGGCGAACCTGCAGAGGAGGGGGAGGAGGCTTTTACACAGCATCATGGCAGCAAATAAAGAATATCATCTGAAAGGCACCAGGATGCTCACAGTCTACAGCCACTTATGTTTCCTCTCTATGCCCATGTGAGAAAACAGCTGGTTTTGGACTGAATGCTATCATCACAATGATACCCTGCTTACAACAAAAATGCTAATGTGTTTGTAATGTTTGTCCCACTGCGTTCAGCGTCTTAGTAAAGCTGCCAGCCCTCAAAGTAAAACTTCAGTTTTTCTTCTTTAAGTACTGAATAACCAACCTGCACTCAGAAGTTCTCTGAAATTTATCTCGGTTTATCCTATCAGATGTACGAGCATTGCCAAATTAATTACAGGTTATCCCGTGTGGATAGTAGAGAAACTATTTTTAATCTGGACAGAAAACACAGGACCAATCGAAAAATCATCCAGCGTTAAAGCTTCAGGGCCATTAATCCAGTCAAATACATAAATAAAAGGTGAGGGAAGATAAGCAATAAATTCGGGGTAGATGAATTTTGTTGACAAGCCCTCGGGCTGAAAATTGTCATAGTGTAGCTTCCCACACTGCCACTCCAGACTGGCTTTAGAAGGTGTGTTAGTGCCACAGACTCATGTTACAGAGGAAATGCACAGATTAGAAGCTCAGTATAAAACAAATGGGCAACTCTGAGTTCGGGGGCATCTTTATCATGTTGTAAGTTCTGTAAATTTGTCTTGCAGTCTGAAGAAGTCTGTGCTCAGTTCTTGTTACTTTGTGCAAATTAGATCGTATTTATCTCTGTGTGTATTTATACTCCATGCAGCTTGCTAGCCAAGCTTGTTGGTGTTAGTTAATAACTCTTGTCTAAACATGACCTTTTATGTAACCAAAAACAAAGATAATGAAATTCAAGGGATCAAAACTACTTCATGAAGTCACCTTGGCAACATTCATTTTTTAATGTATAACTCTCATCACACTGAAACACAAATAACCCTGTGGAAAAGAAAGTTTGCACAGAGACTCTGCAGTCTACTGAACCACCTTTAGCAGCAATAACCAAAGTAATGAGTAAGTAAAAGTTTTCTCCCTCATGCCATTGTGGGGGAATTCTAGTCCACCCTTATTTACAACGCTGCTTCAGTTCACTGAGATTTGCGGGCATTCGGTCATGCTGGTGTAGCTTTGCTGCTGTGTTCGAGGTCACTGCCCTGTTGCGTGGCCAGATTTAGGCCATCTTTTAGCTGTTGGACAGATGGTCTCACTTTTGACTCTAGAATACGTCAGTGTGCAGAGGAGCTCATGGTAAAATCCATGACTGCAAGGTGCCCAGGTCCTGTGGCTTCAAAGTAAATCCACATAAACACACACCTGAATGCTCAAAACCAGCAAATTATGCAAACTTCTGCTTTTACAGAGGCGCTCACAATCACTGATGATCACTTAATCAAATGCATTTGATTATCAGCACCTGGCTGCTACAAGGACGTGCTCAGTGTTTCACAGGACTGCAAATGAACTTTGTACGTTACAGCCTGAGTATTATATGGATAGAAGTGAAAGGTTGCATTCATCGGCAGTGCAGAAACAAGAAATCCCAATAAATTTTCCCGAACCTTCGGTCTGTCTGTTTTCTGTCACAGTCTCTCTGAATCATCGTTTACTTTCTCTTCTCTTATGAAAGCTGCTTAAAAATATTACAAATGCATTTTCTATTCACCCCTGAGAGTTTAATCTGTCTCTGCAGTTTTTCATTTTTCTTACTTTGACAGCACTGAGTCATTTATAAGCCTCAGAACTTTAATTGCGCTGCCAATGTGGTGGTAAAATGCAGAAGACTACAGTTTACTGGAGAGCGGTATGACTGATTGCAGCCCGTCAGACGTGTTTAACAGATAAAATATTTCAGGTTTCAGGCTGATGAATCATTTTCTAATGAAAATGTCTACTTTAAGTCTCAGTGACAAGATCATTGGTCTACCACTTTGGTCCAGGCCGAAATATCTCGCCTATCGGGTTGATTGATTGATCCTGAAAATGTGACCACTTCAAAAGCTTCATTGTTATTCAGCTATTAGCTCAAAACAGCACTGATAACCACACAGAGCTTCCAGCTTGGCTCCTTGAGTCGTGTGTAAACCCCTACATTTTTAAATTAAAATGCTAAATCTACAATTTGTGAGGAAATACTGGAGATACTTGAGAGGGGAATAGAGCTCAACAACCTCCCAGATGTGGAACAGGTGCAGTTTGTCCCCTCGTCTATGAGGACGGGTTCTCGTTCCTTCATTTCTGTGTATCTGCATGCATCGATGAGGTATCTCTTCAGTGTAACAAAATCTGCAGCCCCAGCTCTATGTTCATTGTAGTCGCTGTAGTGGTCGTGTATATGTATATATACGTGTATATATGTGTATATGTATGTATATATACGTGTATATATGTGTATATGTATGTATATATACGTGTATATATGTGTATAT